GCTGCTGCAATTTTGAAGGGTGCGTGTGAATATGGGCTTGATATGAAAACTGTAGCTACAAGAGTATTAAAATGGTCTTATGGAATTAAGGTTTCGAAGGTTTGGGTGAGTGTATTAACCATCGTTCAAAATTTAAAATGCTTAATGTTAACAAATCAATTTTTTAAAATATGCACTATACATATTAGAAAGACGGTGACCCATTATCTCGTAAAGACTCTAATGGTCGGATAGATAAGTTTTTTTTAATGGCTAGGAAAGGAACAGAAGTGGATGCGGAAAAAGAATTTTCCAATAATTTTTCTCCAATTCGCCCTGATCAAACCTCTATAACCAGTAAGTTTTTCTACACTAATGAATATGGCGCAGAATATTGTGATGAGCCTCATATGAGAAAATTAGGTAGTTTCCGGACTAGTGGTTTACCTACCAAGAGTTCAGGACTGAATCGTTCTGTGTGTGAAACATTACGTTTTGCATCTATGGAAAGTACTATCGTAACAGCAAAGAGCCTACATAATGGCGAAACCTATAACACAATATTTTCCACGGAATGACATTTTTTTCTCTTTGTATCGCCTTCAACGCATTAGACAAATGGTTCATTACTTATATTATAACAAAATGCATTATTATATTAACTCATTATAACGTAGTCTATTTACTTTATTGGTTTATGAAATAAACTTCTTTTTTATGAAAAAAATTATCTTTATCAGTTATAATATTTGCTAGCAAAATGCCCATGCTTAGTATGAGATAATGCATGAAGTTATTAATTAGAAGTGTGATTAGACTCATCATTTCGTAACTCGAATGATTTAAATGTTGCTATTATTCAAATCTGTAATTTTTATCAATCGAATTTTATGATCCTATGAATCCCACGTGTTCCATCAGTAATATGTAGATGATTCTCTCACTAATAAAGTATCCGAGTATTTTAGCAAACGGTAAAAGTGCTTCTTTTGTAGTTTAGCATTGCTGTTTTATTGATTTTTATTCGTCTTTTATCTTGTTTAAATGCTAAAGAAGCTCTTTTTTTAGTTGTTACTTAGAAGCAAATTTTCGTATAACAGTTTATCAAAAAAAAAGCCCTAAAAATCAAATTAGTTGATATGTTCTCTAAATGCACTATCAAATTCTTAACTGAGTATATACTTGACCTCTATATATCTAAATGTACACTGTAAAAGTTTGGTTCCTATAGGATGCACTTAGTGAGGTCTCTCTATATTATTTTAATAAAACACATTATTAGAATTATCATAATTTTTTATTATGAGTTATAATAAAAAATTCTTCAAGGAATTAATTCATTATTTAGGGTTGGATCGGTCCAGTCTAGTCAGTCTCGGTGCCTAATAAAACTGATTCCGAATATAACTATCGCTCTGCTCTGGTTAGTCCCTGATCTCAAAAATAAACTATTTTCACGTAAACAAAAATAATTACAGTAAACCTTTTATAAGTGCACCCTTCATAAGTACATACCCTCTCTAAATGCACACTCAAATTCACGTCCAAATATATAGATAAATGCACCTTTTCTTATTGTTCTCTAATTACACACTGTTAATGCTTTATCTCAAGCGCGTGAACTTATAGCGGTTTTGCGTAATTTTTACAAAAGTAGTTCATCATAATATAACTTATAGATTTAAACTATATACAAATGAGTTAACTTATCTTGTTTATTCTGTTTTTCTGTATAAGAATATTATTGCTTTTTTTAAAAAGTATTAGAACTTAGTTTATGCTGCTTATATTTAGTTTTAATACCAAAAAACTTTTTTTTGTTCGAATTATCGTTATGAATTTAACTACCTTTGATCTTGTTTCTAATAAAACTTCTTAAATATTAAGATTATTTTTGATTAATTTTAATACTAGATGGGTTACTAGTTTTCTTTTTTTATGTTGATTATCCAAATTTAGGTTTGTTTACAGTTATACAACTTTTTGTTAACATGTGTGTAGAAATTTTGTGATTACATTTATCGTAATAATTCGTTAATAGATTATTACTACATTTTTGATTATTAATGGACAGTTACTAAATCAGGTGTAGTATAGGAATACTGTAAATATATAAAAGTAGTCCTTTATTAATAAAATGGGAGGATAACGAACGAACGAGATAGATAACTAGACAAGGAGATGGTTAACAAGATAACACATAAACCAATTACCTTAATGATTATACTTTCCTTAATTTCCAACTATCATTAAACCCGAATCCCTAAATAAAACATTCGTCCCTCATAACTTATGCAACTAATCTACACAATCACTCTCCCAAATCTAGGTGTTAAACCACCATATTGGTTATTGTAAAACTTATTATTCCGGTGATATATAGGATGCAATTTATTAATGCATTTATTAACGTTATTCATATCTAACCTAAATATCAAAGACACATAGCATACATAACACATGAAAGTTGATTTTAAAAATCATAAGTAGATGACAAAAGTTATCAAAGAAACTGAGAATGTCATAGTTAAGAAGATGTACCTCTGGTTGTTTCTGTATTGATCAATTCATGACGAACAATCAAAGGATAACTGCAGATAATGTTATAATAATTAAAATGTCGCAATAATTACATAATTACTCGATTCATGATAATTGTCATATAATATAATCAACTTATGTATATTATCTAAGTAAGTTTTCCCATATTTTTCAGATACGACCAATCAAAAACGCTAAAGCGTAAAACCCAGAATTAAATGGTAAAGATTCAGGTCACTTTTTAAGATACGACCAATTAAAAACGTTAAAGCCCCAGAATTGAATGATAAAGATTACTTTATATCTTTCATGAATTACTAATTAAGCAATATTACCAAACTTGTATATTTAATAAGATAATTAATAGTAATTTAACAGAACAAAAAATATTTTGGTTATATTTTTAAATTACATTTTTATTATATTATATATAGCAATTTGCATATTCAAAACCAATAACAAATTTGAATTATACCCTGAAAATAAATTCATTTCAAAAAATTAAGCAACTGAGATATGATAATTCGTAAGATAAGTCTATGTGAGTGTGTGTAACAGATAAAATTTTCAAAAATTTTCACAATAACTTTTTAAAGAAAAGGTGACTGACGAATTAATAAACAAACACATGGCTAAAAATACCCGAAAAGATGAAAAATAAAAAGACGAATGCTGTGATCTGATGTAAATTATAGATAATTAAGTCATTTCCTTTTCACGAAAAGGAAGTTTACCTCAGACAATTTATAATTTAAGATTACATTCAAATTAATAGTTTAATATGAGAATTATGTACCAACAGTAAGTGGAATAACACATCATTCCATAGAAATAATAGAAATAACAGAAATAATAAAAATAATAGAAAAAATAGAAATAATGACAAAAACAGATACTGGCGT